TATTCTAAAAGAAAATTTTAAAATAATTACAGTATATAAAGTATTCTTTTATGAGAATGAAATATTTTCGTCGTCATTCTAAAATTTTTCTTAGTGTGAGCGGATCAAACTATGCAGGAAAAATAAGAAAAAAGATTGGTTTTGAAAATAATAAAAACTTAAAAGAACAATTTACGTTTAATTACTGAAGTAAATATATTGGTACTTCTTGTATCTGTTAATAAATACTGGAAAACAGAGACATGAGAAAAAACAAAAATTAAAAAAAACACGCGTACCGATGGATCGATAAAAGCGCTTTCAAAACAAAATCTAACTGAACGGGAAATATGAAATTAGATTAATATCATAATACTCTTCGGATATTGAATAGTAGTCAGTCATAGCAAAATATCAGAATTATTTCCTTTTTGTACATCCATAGCAAAAATAATTTACCAGTTGCTAAAAGGAAAAAATAGAATACTTTTAGAAAAGGGTTACACTTGAAAATGGCATTAAACATTACATTTTGGAAATCTTCAAACGTGTCTTTATGAGATAATAAAAACTCTTGTGACGAACAGCAACGGGATGAATTTCAAAAATAATTTTTTAACTAGATATTAAGTGGAGTTTTTTTTTTTTTAATTTCTGTCCAATCTGAAAAAAATCACGTTTTATTAAACTATGCAAGCACCAATTGTCAAAAAATCATTTTTTGAGTTTCATTGAATTAATTTTCCGTCAGCCGAATACATAAAAGATATATCAGAATTTCAAGCGAATAACACCATGAAAAAAATTGCTGATGGTCATTTTTTAGACGCCTCCATCATGAATGTCCTTAGATATAAAGATATCTTACAGATATTTTTAAAAAAAGCTCTGACATAATTCTTTCAGGGATATTTCATAAAATTAAGTTCATGTTATCCCAAGCAGCCAATTTTTCTCAAAATGTCCCGAGCAAAGAGCTATATTTGACAGTAGTTGTGTATTACATGACTCACCACAGCTGATTCTAAAAATGACATTGTACTTAGCGTCTTTCAGAAAAGCAAGATCCATTGGTGGATTGACCCGAGATCTCCTAGCCAAGTAGTCACCAATTGCAGATGCGTGCTTCTACTGATATTAGCGGATGAAGACACCTGGTTGATATAGGATATATACACGTGGGGAAAACCGCATGGCAGGTCGATATTATATAAATACCCACCCCAAATGAGTCTCTTGTGCATCCTGGCGAGATGTAGAATCGACATTCAGAGAAGCCCCCTCTCCGCAAAACATCGCATCCACTGACCGACAGCATTTGACGAGGTCTTGAGTTGAATAAAATGTATTGTTACATATGCGAGATTAAGTCTGCTTTTCTCATTAGTAATATACGACGAACACGTTCTTCTTTTATGTGCCGTGTCCCTTCAGGATGTAGGCGATCACGGCCCTTTTTCCTGTCTCTTGTAGCTTTTAATGTTTTGTTTTTTTTTTGTTATTTCTCCCAAACCTTGTTCTACCATCCATTTGCTTAAACTCATCAAGTATCTTACTCTTACTTTCCTCTGTTCCTCTTTCCCTTAATCTGTCCCGTGAGTATCAAGTTTTCCAAGTTCTCCTTCCTCATTCCGTTCCCCAGAAACATTAAATGTCTTTTCCTGATGTTAAGTATGTTTCCTTTTTGTTTCCATTCTCTCCAAAACCTCTTCGTTCCTATGTTCGATCAATGGCATCCTCAGCATCTTTCTGTTGCTTCATGCCTCTTCTTCCTCTTTGGGGAGATTGTTCAGCATTCACTGAATGACTGATATCACGTAACAGTTCAGTACTCTTTTTTCTGTTTCTAACGAAATTTTCCTATCTATTAATACTCTACTTAGCTTTTGGAATGTATCTTTGGCGATTCCACTACGTCTTCTGATTTCAGTTTAATAAAGGTATAAATAATATATTCCCAGGATATTAATACTTTTTTGTACAACCGCTTTAGTTTCCTTTTTTCACCATACGATCAGTTTTAGACCCACTGGAGTGACAGGGTGAAATCGATTTCTATTTTTACCTCAGATTAGTTAATTTGCAGTGGTTTGCAGTAATATGAAAAATATTGCTTCATCCGTGATTGCATCATATTTTCATCACGTTACTCCAAGGAAGCGTACGAAAATTGTAACGACGCAGGAACAAACTGGCAAGCCTTACCAGTGAGCAAATCAAAGTACTATAGACTGGTCGAAAATTCTCCTGATTTAAATCCAATCGAGAATCTGTGGTCAATCTGCAAGGAACAACTTCGTGGAATGGACATACGAAGTACTAAGATGTGTAATGGGCCATATTTCATTGGAAAAATACGAGAAAAAAGTAAATAATAACGGAATTATTTGTTTTGTTTCAATTAATTTGCCCAAGGGTGTAGAATATGAGAGATTTGCAAAAGAACAAGAAAAAGGCCAACAGCTGCAAAAGTTTCAGAACAATCTCTTGCCGTCGTTACATTTACAAACATTCGTAATCTTAACACTAACATTGAAATAGTGTGCGATATCAGCACTGTTTGTTTTCGTTACTTCATTCCCGGATTCTTTATGTAACCTTTTTATATCTACCTTGCATACTCTGCCGCAGCCCGTTCGTTGTTGCAATCTTGCATACAGTCCGAGCAAAACAGACCTACGTTCTTACACAGTTTCAAACGAACGCCTTGCACATGTACATAACAATATTATTGGACCTGTTCCACTCTGTGATAGAAACAGCTATCCATTCACCCCTTGGTGTGAGTCATTTCTCGTGTTAAATATCACCGCGTACGACACAGTAAAAGCTTTTAGTTCATATTAGCTATCTCGTTTTAGCGTCGCTAATATCATTACTATTGACACGAATAACCAGTTTCAGTCAAAGTTATTTCGACAGCTAACGAAACATTTCGGCTTCAAAGGAGTTTGTACTGCAGCATATCATTCAGAGGCGATTCTGTCCAACCCTTCTTTTGTAAGTATTTTATAACTGAATGTTACCAGCCTTTGATGCATATATATATATGTGTGTGTGTGTGTGTGTGTGTGTGTGTGTGTGTGTGAGTCCAAATGAGAGAAAGAACAGACGGAGTAAAATTCCACTGTTCGTAGCATTTACTTTTTAACAAAGTGCTCAATACAAAATAGAGCAATATATTATGATTTTTATTATAAAAGATTATAATAAAAACATGTTGAAATCGCTACACAAAATCTTTCATGTTTCAATATTATGATTGCACTTCTTCAAGCGCTGGTATGTAAATTACAATCGCCTGAAGAAGTACATTGAGAAACTTATTTTCCTGAAAATTGTTTTAATAAAAAAAATTATAAATTTCAACCGAAAATAGTACTGGCTGTTCGGTCAATGAATGACAAATGTTCCCTTATAAGGATACTGCTAATATTACTATAACTATTAGAGATGAGGAGAACAGATACTACACTTTGTTCTCAGTCCGATGTCCAAGGAGTAAAGAAAAGCGTGACTCAAGTAGCACTGATTGCTTGGCCAATGAATGACAAATGTTTCCTTATCAGGACACATCTAACATTACCATAACTATTTCCATGACGCTGAGCGCAGTGAAATTAAAACTTCCAAATAAATAAATTAAAGCAAAAACATTTTTTTATGGGAAAGAAAAATATTCCCTGTTTTATTTTAATCTTCTTCAGTTGTTTTCCTGAATAATTGATAAAATACTGGATGGAAAGAAAAAAAGGCACATTGCTCCGTTTATTTCCGCAAAAATAGAGAAGAAATTCCGTTTTTAGTGTTTATTGACTTTTTTGTTTTACTTCGTTTATTTAATATTATTATTTTTTTGTTTGTTTTGTTTTTTGGCATATATTTTGTTTACGCCTCTCACTTCCTCTTAGTTATACAGTTGATTCCGGTTAAATCGGCCTTACCAAGAACGATCGCTTACTAGGACCAATTGTGCAACAACAGAATCGAATGTATTTAATATTTTGTCCTTATGACGCAATTCCGTATAGGTATATATAGCTTATATACCTTCTTTTTTTTATTCCGATGTTATTAGTTTAAATGAAATCCACTGAATAATTTTTTTAAAAATCTTACTCAAAAAATTCCAACTTTTGTTTCGACATGTCCAAATTTAATACTTCCGGTTTTTTGTTTGTATTTTTATGTCGGCCATGATGTATCTATGCATGTAGAAGATATTGTAACTACACTGTAAAAGACTGATCAAAGTAGGTTTGGGGCAGGAAAGGTTTTGATGCTATAGACCGCTAGTTCAATAACCAGTATCATTACCAGATGAGCCTCAGCATTCATCCCATTAGCAGCAGTAATGTGATTATATTGAAAGTGACGGGAAGGTGAGAGCAGGGGTGTAGCGCAAATAATATAAAGTACCAATTATAGCAAGCAAGGAAAAGAAGAGAATATAATCGACTATTTTGTGTACGTGGAGATAGTGTTTCGAGTCTCTCAGATAAAAAAACCAGCTTTTTTTGTTTTCTGTCAATTGGCTTGCGTTTGAAATGGCTTTATTAAGGAAGTCTAGAGGTGCAATAAGCACTTAGGCAAGAATCAAATTCTTTGACGTGTTTTGTATTTTTCCCATTCAGATAATTGTTTCTTATGAACTTTTTAGGTATCAACAACTCACACTATATGAGTCGCTTAGGTTTCATTTCATATATTTTATTTCCAGAGCAACTTAGACAAGTCAGGTGGGATGGACAAGTAAATGGATCGATGGATCGATGGGTATATGGACGGATAGATAGATAGATAGATAGATAGATAGATAGATAGATAGATAGATAGATAGATAGATAGATAGATTATAAAGAAATATAGGTTATAAAGAAAGAAAGAAAAGATGGATAGATTATAAAGAAAGAAAAATAGATTAGCTAGCTAGATAGATAGATAGATAGATTATAAAGAAAGCAAGATTATAAATAAATAAATATAGCTAGATAGATTGTAAAGAAAGAAAGATATATAGATTATAAAGATAGATTATAAAGAAAGAAGATTAGATAGATAGATAGATAGATAGATAGATAGATAGATAGATAGATTGATAGATAGATAGATAGATAGATAGATAGGATGAGACTTGGATAGATTTTTAGCAAGCTTACTCCTTTGGTTTCCTTTATTTCTTTCTCTGTCTTGATTGCAAATTGTAAAAGATGCAGGATCCAGCGGCAAAGTGCGTTGGGTAGGAAAAAGGCTAGGAGAAAGAGGGATAACGAGTAATGCTGACTGGTTTACTACACCAGTATACCTTTCTCCACCTTCACTACCTTATCTAGAAGGACTGCTAGAAGACAGCCAACGAATGGCCCCACCCAGTAGACCAAAATATGTTCCCATATTTCTGTTCCTTTGCAGCCCAACATGTGACCAGTTGCCATGGCCGGGTTAAAGTACATACCAGTCAAGCTAACACCTGCAAATAGAAGACAAAATTAATTTTAAAAAGATTAATTATATTAAGTGAAATATGTAAAAAAAATACGAACGAAGCAAATATGACTTATTTTAAATGAAAGTTATGGGTATATAATTTTTGTTCATAATTTTTTGTAGCTTGAAAAAGAGATGATAAATTCACTATCAGGTATTATATATCTTCTTAAGTGGTCAGCTTTTAGAATAAGGATTATCAAAGAGGATCTTTGATAAATTTTAAAATATTAAATCCTAAAACAAAATTATAAATAAAAACGAAGTAAAATGGTTTAAAAGTAGACGTTATCTCACAAAAATAAAACGCGGGACAAATAATTCCAACCTTTAGGGCATTTACAGTGCGTCCACATCACAACCGAATGTGACACAAGGTCAAGATTTAAAATGGGTTTACCGCAATACCATAGTAAAATTGTCAACGCTAAAGTTACATCGGTTAACTGCAAGCAGTAAAGAAAGTCTTTCCGCTTGCACAGAGACGGCTAATGTCTAGAAATAAGAGATTCAAAAAATTCTTAAGGGAAAAGACTAACGTGCCACACTTAGAATAATAAAATCTGTCGGATGAGACAGCGTTGGTATAGACAAGATTATCAAAGAGGTTTTGGCTAATCGCTTAAGCTTTTGAGCCCTGACCACCGTTTTACTGGTGGTAGAGAAAAATGGCGTAATGCCCAGTCACCGGTTGAACAGTGGTAGAGAAAAATGATGTAATGCCCAGCCACCGGTTGAAAGGTTGGTAAACGCTTGTAACTATTTTTATATCTACCGTGAAACATTACATACCAATTATTTGCGAATTTTGACTCAGGAGTTCAGGCAGAAGGGTTAAAATTGTTCAGGGACACAGAGCTTAAAGGGTTAATCTAAAATACTCTGCGATTGCGTCAACGTTGTTGTTTGATGTGATTGGCTATTTCTGACCCAAAGTGGGACATGTTATTTGATCTTCCATTCCAGTCGTTTTTAATCTAATGTGGGATCTTACATTCGAGTCTTTGGAGGTGCGTCCAGTTTTACACTTACACATAAGTGAATACATGACAGAATATTTATCGAAGAAAGGAACACGACCATTGCTGATGGACAAAAAAACATTCCTAGAGCCAAAGATTTGGCGCAAATTCACAGCAGGAAAACAAGATATGACAGTGTGCTGTTGAATAAATCTAAGACTGACATTGCCAAAGTAGAGTAAATTTAATTAAGCCGGATATTTAGATCTGAACCTTTTGTCAGTGGAAAAACGAACAACTTCTTTCTGATAAGTTTTTCCTCCTCGTCTGATGGATAAGCAATTATTAGCAAGGAAAAGACTTGATTAAAACCAATTCAGAAGAATGTTTACCTGGAGAAAAAGTAATAAATAAAAGAAATCTCTAAAAATCCATACTCATATACGTCTTAAATGAACATGTCATTAACAAAATAAAATCCAATTTTCTTTTTTATTGCCGAATATTTTCAACTTTGATTAGAGTCGAACAAAAAGCTGACCGCTTACGAGGATTTTTTTAAGCATTTCACCCCAAGCAAGGCGGGAGTGCCACTAGCACGCAAGGGGTTACAAAGAGTGAGAGCAAGAGTAAAGAGGGGTGCTTGAGGAAAGGATATAGAGAAGGTCGGGGATCAGGGTCAAGGCAACAGATGTCGATTGACATTACATTTGAATATTTGAAGATTATAGCTATCAGAAAAGCAAGTAGGAAGAAGAGAGTTCCACTGACGGGAAGAAGCTGTTGGAATAGAAGAGGCGGTAACATTTAACTGTTTCGACAGTGAAAGGATGGGACCAAGATTCCAACCTCGCTTAGATTCATGCATTTGGGGAACCAGTGAAAGTAGCTCGTCAGAACGTTTGCCATTAAAATATTTATAGAAAAGGCAGAGGGAAGCCACATCACGTCTGTGAGAATGTGACTGTAGACGAGATGCCAGATCAGGACCAATCACATTGCATATCCGTCTATTACACTACCTTTTTGACAGTTTATTCCAACATCTCCGCTTTTTAAAACTATATTTAAGCTCTGTAATGTTAAGAAAGTGTTTCTATTATCATACAATGCTTCGATTGGACCAGTTTATGCGTTTTTTGTTATCTTTATCCCAAACCTTTCGAGTGTTGCACCATCCAACTTCCTCGAGTGACTGCTACAACCGGTAGCCTTCCGTAGACAAGCATAGCTGAGGATATCAGAGGGGAGACCACTAACCAGGAAAGAATAGACATGAGATTTGTAGCTAAACGTTCCAATACGGACATTCTACTGATGAAAACCGTAACAGAATTGTTCAGTTTTTCTTGAAGTCGTGAGTTCAGTTCCTGGATAAGGTAGTGCAGGAATACAGATGCGTGAAGTGGCAAATCTGCTTCACAAGGAAAGATTAATGCTTACGAATTCTGAAATTATTAAAGAAGGAAATCTGACGTTAAATGTTAAGGCATGAGACTAACATGCCCTACTGAACGAAATGATGGACTTCGTTTAGCGTCACTTCGGAAGGACACCGTGCATGGAAAGTAAAGGCAACATATCCCAGTGGTTGAAATAAATGATTACGTTCGACATTCCTTCCGAAGGATACTGGACTTGGAAACTAAAGGCATTAGACCAACATGCCCTACTTGATGAAATGAAAGGTCACGTTCGACATTACCTATGAAGAAACCGAATTTAGAACGTACAAGAATGGGACCAACATACACCAATGAAATTCTCTTCTTTTTTTTTTATTTCCGAAAGGCTGTAGATTGCGATAAACATTTAAACCAACTCAAAGAATCCAGCGATTGAAATGCTGTGCAAAAATAGACGAGGAACTATATTAAAAAAATATTTTAGTATTTAATTTTTAATGACACGAGATTTTTTAAAAAATTGCTTTCTCTATTTTCTCCATTTTAATCCAAATAAATTCAACTCCGAAACCTCTTATTGTTAAGTCCGGGATAGAATGGTTGACTGGAATAAAATGGTAGGTTGGATAATTCCTTCAAAATTAATTTGTTTTCGGATAGTGGGATAAACATACGGATAAGAAAAATACTTTGAAAATAAAATGAACTGGGAGTCTGGAATAACAGTGGGTAGAGTGAAGATAAATCAAAATTTAAATGCCGGGTCAGGTGCGTCTATTTTGGATGTGAGGATATATGTAAGGTGTTCGAAAAGTCGGGGATTAATAAATGATTTTATCTTGACTAGCCAAACTATTGAACAAATCTTACAGTTTTAATTCGTTATTACGAAAGTCTTACATCATCAAAATCTAATTCAGTTATTCAAATATCGGCTTAGAGATTTCCGATTCTTTGAATAACTTGTAAATCTTTCTATATTTTAACAAATCTTCTTACCTGCTACGATCATAGCTCCTCCATTTGCTGCTTTTATTAATTCATCGACGAAAGAATTCCTGGATAAGGACTGTTTACCCATCCACGTGTCTATGAGGGCTGCTCCCATCTCCACCACAAAACCCAGAAAAATGGTCACTGCTAAATCGGTTTGGCAACTTGATTCGAAGAATCGTTCCCTGTGATCGTACACCATATCCAACGACCAAACTAACTGAGCCAGGCGATAAGATGCTAAACCTCCAAGAGCTTGAATAGCGATTTTGATAATAGCAACGTCGAACGTTATTTCCCGCTTTGAAAATTCGTCTAGGGCTTTGATTGGGTTTTCGGATGCTCCATCGAAGGTCCTGTTCGAAATAAGTATTTCAAGGACAATAGCCACAAAGAAACCACCATAACCGTAGTGCTTCAAAATATTGTTGTTTTCAAAGAAATAGGAACACGCTTCCATAGTGGCAATGAACTCCAAAAAGAAAACCTGGAGACTCCCCGGTAAAATCGTTTTGCTTATCTTTCGTAAAAGATAACCTAGCGAGATTACAATCACCAAAAAGAGAATGCTGGCAATATATGGTTCTAAATATTCATCTTCTGGCAGCGATTTTCCCGCCATCATCTGGTAGACCTGCCGGTAGTTCATTGTCTGTTCATCAAATTAAGTTGACATTTTGAAAAAAGAAAAAAAAAAAAAAAGAAATATCCGTTAGTCATGATTCTGGAAAAATGTTATATGCAATTTACAATTCATTAAAAATCTTTGTTTTTCATTTTATGATTATCTAATTGTGTTATCGTCTGCATGTATGAAAAAAAGAACCGTCAATAAGCACTGTTATTGTTTCATTTTATAATAACATTTCAAATGTTTTGCCTTTGCTTTACTCGAAAATAATTATCATTGTTTATAATTATTTCTATATATTGATTAATTTTCAGAAAAGGAATGATACTGTAAAAGTTTTTAATTTAAAGAAAGCGAAAAAAAAAACGAGAAAGTTTTCGATCTATATTTATGGATAATATAAAATGTGCAGACCATCAACTCCGGGCAAAATAGAGGGTGTCCATAAAGTTCGTGTGCACTTTAAAAAATTTATAACTTTATTTGTATTTGCGATAAAAATTATCTGTAAAAAGGATTGGAAAGAAGTAAATCTATGTTTTTTAAGGTTTTATTGAAATTTTATTTAAGTTTCCACATGTCCTCCATCATTAGCAATACAAAGGGTAATACGATTTTGCAGTTCACGGAAAACATTTGCCAACTGATTTACAGTAATGCCTGAAATCACATTAGCTATTTTAGCTATACTTAAAACTAGGTACATTAAACTTTATAACATTTTTTACAGATTATTTCTATCGCAAATACAAATAAAGTTATAAATTTTTAAAGTGCACACGAACTTTATGGACAGCCTGTATTTAATGTTATTTTTTAAGAACATATCTGAGAATAAATTAGTCATTATTCCATTTGTAGGTTACTAACTGACTCTTAAAAGGGGACTGAGATCAGCACATGTTTAATAAGCGCATTCGGGACTTGAAGAATTCGATTCGGAATTGTTTTTTTTTAATATTCACTTGGATCATCTTTTACAAGATTAACCTTGATTCTATTTTGTCTATGAAAAATAAAAGACATTCACAGCGATAATGATAGAAATAAATGTTCCAGAAACAGCGTTGATATAAACAAATGTAAATAATAAGAAAGATGATTTATTCTATATTTTTAAATCCTTAAACGGCGGGAAAATGCTGCATGAATTTACACATCAAAATAGTAAAAAACGAGAAAATTCATTTTAATTCATTTCGTGTAGCCTGATGCTTATTTTCGATTTGCTTATATAAAACTACAGGAATTATATTTTAGATCCTTTAGATTATAAGAATAAAGAAGATAAAAATCAAATGTTATGCTGATGATCTTATTAGAAATACAACATTTAATTAAAGCAATAAAAGCAGACATGATGAAATAAGACAGAAAGGGGAGGTAATTATGATAATCGTCACGAGATTTAAGAGAGAGAGAGAAAGGAGAGAAAAATCATGATGAACTAATCCTGATTTTCTCTCTTTCCTCCTTTCTTTCTTGTTCTTAGTTTCGAATTGCCAACTACCGTAGCTGTTCCCCCCACCCTCTTTTTGTCCCTTTTTTATTTATTGCCTTAATTAAATGTTAGCTTCCTAAATTGAATATTTTCTAACAGTATCATACTATCTGAAGCATTCCTTGTAAAATGGAATTGTGCATTCCTTGCAGTAAGTTGTCATAATTTTCTATTCGACAATATTCATATAAACATAACACTGTCTTTGGTTTGTTTTTTTTTTCCAGCTTTATTTTCAGGCAAATAACAAGAAATGAATGAATGTTATTAAACAGGAAACTCGGGAATTCTTGAATTGCCAATTAATCATTTAATCTTCAATCCTGAATGAATGAGGCCCGTGTCGTTAGGAAAAGTTTAAATCATCAATTAATGATATCCGTTGATATCCAACGAAGCATCAATTGACGATGGCCGCCGTTTAAGGGTTGAAGCAGTGAACTAAGTAAAATTCTTTTAAAAGCGTTGAACGAGCATTAACAGAACGAAAACCACTGTTCCAGGTTTAATCATTTGTAGGCAAAATATGAAGCTTCACTTAGCGTTGCATCGGTTTGCAGAAAAGCTTAAGAATCTCCAAGTGTAGATTCGAGCCGCCAGACGCATGCGCCACAAATACAAACGTAAAGCTACCGGGTAAAAATGAGTTTTGATAGCAACAGAGAGAGGAAAATAATGAATTGATGGCGACGAAAGACTCGACTCATACGTACGTATCTGATTTTATCTCTAACTATATCTCAGAGATGAGCTGTTATAACTATTTACACTATTTATATTGTTCGGACTATTGTCCTCATCTTTACTGTCATATTCACGACATTTCGGCCGTTGTACGCTTCGGCCTTCTTCAGGTGATATACGTTGGAATTTCGAACTGAACCCTTTATTTCGTCCACCGGGGAAGATTGTTCTAGTTCCACGTGCCGTGCCTTTTCTGGATATCTCAGTTTCAGTCATTTCCCTTTAATAACTCAACTCGCCAAGCTTTTGTTCACCTCTGCTGTGGCCAGGTATTGAACTCAAAACTCTCCGGGTCAACTCACTGGATTACTTCAACCAATGCTTTTATTTACTGGGCCATGGTGGACGAAATAAAAGACTCGGTTCGAAATTCCAGCGTATATCACCAGAAGAAAGCCGGAGCGTACAACGACTGAAACGTCGTGAATATGTCAGTAAAGATGAAAACAATAGTTTGAACAATGTATCATATTTTCCGGCTTACAAGGTGCACATTTTTTCCTAAAAAATACCCTGAAAAATACGTGTGCGACTTCCTAGACGAATGTAAGGCAACGCCCAGGCTCAAGTAAGTTTGGACGTTCACCTAACTGACTTGACTGATAGGGACTTGTATTTATATGTTGAGTCATTACACTATAATGTTAGCTATCTATCTAATTCAGCCTTTTATATGATGTAACCTCTATTTAGCTGTATTTTTAAGACTATAAACCTTCCTGGAGTCGAGCCACAAGCTTAAACATGCTCTGTTTAGTAACAGCGGTGGGAGCCTTTCAGCTCTTGACTAGTATGTCATTGCCATACAAACAAAAATCGGACGAGTGATTAATGTAAACAATACGTTGCGCCAGTGTGTGAGGGACAAATGGTGAATGTGTTGTTGCATGAGAATGACTTTTTGTTTTCTTAGAATTTTTTTCCAATATTAGGGTGCGTCTTCCAACCCGCAGCATCTTGTAAACCGGAAAATGCGGTAAATAATGTCAATAGCATCTGATTTTGTTTCACAAACAACATAATGTATTTTATAAGCATCATGTAAATGACACCTTACACGTTAGAGAGAAAAAAACGAAAATTTTCAATTGGCCTTTTTTAATTCTAAGTATAAGTGCCATTTTTATTTCCATTTTCTTTCAATGCTTATATGTTCAGGCCATGGCATTCTCAGCATCTTTTTGTAAAACCAAATTTCTGCTGCTTCAAGTCTCCTTTTCATCTGTGACACCCACATCAGATTTCGGTATCGCATTTTCCGTCCTCTGTTAAAAAAAACTTCATAGATATTTTCAGTTTTTTGTTTGCTTGATTTTGATGTCTCCAATTCATAGTTTTCAGCTTGTGTTGTTCGTCTTGATGACAACCATACACTCTGTCTTACAATTGATGATTAGTCCTTTCTTCGCGCTTTCAAGTAGGAAAAACTTAGATTCTCTTCAACTTTCAAAATGTTTTAAATGAAAATGAAAAAGTAGTGTACCTTTTCTATATACTAGAAGCGGAAAGAAAACAAGAAATCTTGATCACTGTCTGGTGGAATTTCCAAGAAGTAGTGAATTTCGAGTTTGTTCCATACGGTCGCGCAATCAACGCCAAACTTCATTGCCAGCAGCGAGACTGCGTGTACGACAAACAAAAGAAGGAGTATCCTGCTTTGATGAATCGAGGTCAGGCTTTGTTTCATCAAGGCAGTGCAAAGGCCAAACATTGCCAGGTTGACTAAGGAGACATTCAAACATATGGACGGTGTTGAGATTCTTCTACATCCACCATTTTGTTCTGATGCTTCTCCGAGTGACTATGACCGACTCAGCTCAATGGCGCACTTCCACCGCGACCAGCGATTCAACACTTTTGATGAATCGAAGGAAACTTGTTTACAATTCTTTTGATTCAAAGACAGCGAACTGGTATCTAGGGCAGATTCGGATGCTGGTTGATCGCTGGCAGAAGATCGCCGAGAATGATGGACTTTATTTTGAAAAATTAATGTTGATGTTGCTCCATAAAATTTTGTTGTTATCTTTCCGCTTCCTAAGTGAAACAGGACTTCCCGGCCAACCTAATATATATATAGTGAAAAAAAATAATATATATTTTAAATTAGGATCAATGGAACCGTTCAGGTAATTTTAATTAGCCACCACACTAAAATGTGGGCGTCTTGGCGTGGGATCAACGAGCTACTCTGGTTGACCGTTAGTGCTGGATTCGATCCTCACTAGGTGCCGTATACTTGTGATCTTGGGCCAAAACAAAGCTGAATTAGCAAAGAGAACGTTACAAAAACATAGATTCATTGTCATCTTTTTAAAAGAGTCGCTCTTTTAGCACCACTTGACTGTTCATTTTTATACACAGATTTTCACTTACCATTTAACTAAACCTTTTTTTTTATAAATCTCAGCAGCTTGTTTGGAGAAAATGGGGAGGACCGCAACCACACCAATTGATGATGGTTAAACGATGAGTGATTTTTTTTATAGAGCCAGGCGCTGATGACTTAAATTAATATTGAAATCTAACAAATGGTTTGGTTTGTTTTGTTTTACGGTATAGCAACCACTGGTTTTACGGCATATCAACCTCAGTGGTTTTACGGCATATCAACCTCAGTGGTTTTACGGCATATCGTCCTTAGTGGTTTTTACGGCATATCAACCTCAGTGCCGAGATTTTTAGGATAAGTTCATATGAATAGAATATTCTTTGTAAGAAATCAGTTTGTAGATCAGGTTTGACTGACGCATTTTTATAAAGAGGGTTTTTGTCACGAGTCAAATCTATTGCTGGTAATATTTTTTCCCCAAAATGTATTGCTGGTATTTTTACTATAAAAATGTATTTTTATACTTCCATAGTGTTTTGACTCCAGTTTGGCGTTTAACTATTTGTTTGCCCATACCCTAACAGGTACTAACACCCCGGATCAGGGTGAACCTGGGTACAACAGCAATTGAGAGGTGGTTCCACGCTCTTCAAAACCTCCTGATCAGAGGCCTTGCTACTGGATGTATTTCATCATAATACCCAGGAAGATAAATATTAATAGTAATTAGTTAAAAAGCGATGATTTGTTGGTGAAACGTGGGAATCATTGTTTATTGAGAACTGCTTGATCCGAACAAAACTATCACTAGCGCGGTGTGCTGCATGTAGTTTTAATGTAAAATTGATGCAATTGCTGAAAATCATCGACATTTGCAAACAATCTAGCTGTGGTACAAAATTACCAAGCAATAAAATATACGCAGGCGGTTACATGAGAATTGTGAAGTCTTGCTGCAATTGACCGACTTGGCGGTTTTCAATTATTAAAATTTCTGTTTCTGTAAAAAATTCCTAAAAGGTTAGAGTTTCTAAAATGACGATACCAAAATGACAACAGAAAGCTTCTTTGATTGGAAACTGACGTCATTGTATCAGAAAGGAATCTATGGTTTAACTGCATGTTGGCAAATAAATAAAATGTTAATTATATTGAAATTTTGTAGTAATTTCTTAAAATTAGAAATAAGAAAAATAACTGAAGAAAATATTCAGAAACTTTTTTACAAATCGAATTATTCCGTTTAAAATTATAAGACTGTGGAATACTTCGAAATTGTTTGAGAAATATTGAATAAAAGTAATTGAAATATTCGCAATGTTTTCACCAACTTTTTTGCTTTAAGTATCAAAGTGTGAAAGTCTTTGAATTTTTCTTCTGGATTGGTTAAAAAAGATGCAAACTGGTTATAATTAATTATTTAATTTTCTTTCTTATTTTTTCTTTTCTTTTAGTGGCGGGAAAGATATTTAACAAATCCAAAAACTACAAACATCTACAAACAATCTACATTGATTTATACTTTTTAGGTTAATTGAATATCGTAAAAATAGGGTTATCATAAAAAGAGAGCAAGGAAGAGGAGGAAAGAAAGAGATTTGTCGGCTTATAAGACGTACATCACAGAAAATAAAAATACAGTGGTGACTAAAAGCCTTTGATCACCATTATTAGAAACTACTTTATTCCAACAGTTATCCACATCTTGGTTCTTTATACTAACGATGTTTCTGCCGTTGTATCTGTCTTCAGGTACCTGTTAAATGAGTTAGTAACCTTCCCAGAAATTTCATACCAAACCCTTTATTCAGTCAGCGGAAGTATATTGTTCTCATCTCGTTGACCATGCTAGGGGAGATAACCCGTAGTAGGCAATTCTGTCCGGTTAATTACGCCTCGTGTTGTTGCTTGGCTTCTTCATCCATTTTACACTACCCGACTCAAAGCCTGGACCCACGACACCCAGATAACCAAATATGCATAACCAGTGCATTTATCTTCTAGAATATTGCCTTGTAGAAATGAGAACAATCTATCATCGTAAATTGAATAAAGGGTTCGGTTAAAAATTCCCAGATGTTCACTACGGCAAGCACCTGATGAAGACCAGAAAGAACAATGACTGAAAGGTTTTGTCGATAACAATCAAGGTGAAGAGACTAGTGTGAGTAAGTGTATCATAATAACAATAATAATAATTCATCATCTAAAAATTTAAGTAAAAATTGCGTTTTATAAGACACAAAATACATCAATTAAAATTTAATTTTCGACTAGACTATCGATATATTTAAATAATTACAACATAACTGCGAAATCTACCAAGTGGGATAAGTTTAAATGTTTGAAATTGAATCTAACTAGTGAACAACTATGAAACAGGCTCTGACATTTACAAGAGCCAGATGAGACCAAAAATGGAATACTGCAGATGTAACTTGACTGGAGCTGACCCAGTCCTCACTTTTCAGTCTTGATATTTACAAGCGTCTACGCGGCCCTGTGGATAATGAATTATCTTCCACACAATCCATTTCCCACAGACGAAACACCGTAATCCTGTTGCTATTATACCACTACTTCCATGGAAAATATTCAGACGTGCTACATCCCATAGTTACCAGTTCAGACCTTCACAGCTAAGACCTGCAATACCACGTATACTGTCAGGAACAATCACCATTCTTATCGTGTTCCATTTATAAGAAGGAAGTTTTATTCAGCTTCTTCCCAAGAACCGATACTTGGTGGATCAGACTCCCTTGGGGTTGCTTTCCCGGTCACTACAATCTTAACCACTTTATGTCTACGGTTAACCGTTATCTTTCCTACATATCCTCGTAAACTGCACTTCTCACTTCTCCCTTTTATGCTCATACAACAACCTCATTCAGTAACGCTCTACCTTGAGTGGCTCTTGGCCTTGTATTGTATGAAATAAATAAATAAAAAAGCTTCATAACAAAGATTATCATTTATGTCATTTTATTTTACATAAGAAATTATCATCTTAAAGTTCGGGCTAGGAAACTCATTTTAGTTGGAAGAAAGCCAAAGAATGCAAGAATCCAAATGCCGTGACTATAACAACCAAGACGAGGATACTAATCCAAGTACTAAAGCATATAATAAAGAATATAAAACTTTTTTAACTAAAAACAATAGAATAGAAGTAAAACTATTTCATTTCAGTTGACTGTGTGCTACAATTGCGCAAATAATGTGTGTGTGTGTGTGTGTGTGTGTGTGTGTAATCTGGTGACCTAGTTTCCACGCAGGTAAAACAGTATAAGACAAAAGGTAAAGGTTTTGACGTAATAAAGAAATAATTTGAGAATTGCTGCCGATAATCTGACGGATTAGCCTTTCATACAGACGTTACTAACAATTAAAGGATTATCAGCTTAGACGACGGAACGGAGGAGACGCCATGAGTTTCATAGTCATCGGAACAGAGTCTCTTCCAGGAAGAGAAAGGTTGAAGTGGGGTAAGAAAATAAGGAGAGAGGGCATAAAGAAAAGGAGAGTGGTTAGAAAGAAAGAAAGAAAGAAAGAAAGAAAGAAAGAAAGAAAGAAAGAAAAAAGAAAGAAAGAAAGAAAATACATAGAAAAATGTAAGGCAAGAAGAAAAACGAGAGAGCCGTAAGAAGGAAATGAGAGAAACCAAATAAGAATTATAAAGAGAGACCAGACAGAAAGAAAGGAGATAAAAGCAATAAGAAAGAAAGAAAGAAAGAAAGAAAGAAAGAAAGAAAGAGATAAAGAAAGAGAGAGAGAGAGAGAAAGAAAGAAGAGAGACAATTAAAAATAGGAAAGGAGAGAGACCAGATAGGAAGGTAAGAAGCGGATCAGGTAAAAAGGTAAAAAAAGGAACATGAAAACAAAATGAAAGGAAGAAGAATAACCAGAAAGAAAGGAGGAAAAGAAAGGTAAAATAATGAACCCAAAGAACGGAGAGATACCAAAAAAGAAGAAAGAAAGATAACAGAGAGAAAGAAAGAAAGAAACTAGAAAGAAAAAAAAAGGAGCGAGACCAGTAAGAAATAATGGCGATAAACTAGAAAAAGGTAAGAAAGAAATGAGTGAGGTCGGAATAAAAAGAAAGAGAAAGAGAAAGTAAGAAATGAAGAAGAATGGTCTGAAATAAAAGAGAGTGATTCGAAAGAAAGGGTAAGAGAAATTTTATGGAGAGTGAGACTGACCTGAAAAATAGGCGATTTGTTAAAATGAAAGGAAGGACAAAGTTGAAGAGAGATGAATTTATCAGGATATTATGACCTAGACAAACGACTACTGTTCTTGTAATCATTTCACCCTAAACAAGGCAAAGAAAATCATTATAGAGAACCGGAATTAAGAAGACAGAAGATAACAATTGACATTGCATTTAAATTTTTGAAGATCAAAGTTGGCTGGAAAGCAAGAAACCGAAAGAGAGACCGTTAACATAGGACTTATGGTTCCATCTAGTCATTTTCAACTGTAAAATGAAGAGACGTTGCCGTCAATCTAGTAGTACTACGGCTGCAGTACATATGTTGTCTCTACAACCTTAATGGCTTAAGGCACACGTGACATGATATGACATATAATGGCTTACGTGACTCGCGACATGATGTGATATATATAAAATAAATATTAATATATGCATTTACAGATTATTCTCCAAGAAAGTGGACTAGTTTCTTTAAAAAAAAAAAAAAAAACTTTTATATGTCCTTTAATATTACGAAAAAATAGTTTCAATTGTGACTGAAATCGTTTTTCTTCTATATAATAAATACGAATGTCAGTGTGTCAATGCGTCACACTTTCTCAACTTTACTCCTAGAGGCCGTAGCCCAACATGTCATACCATTTTGGAATCGGGCCGACTCCGTGAGCAAATTAAAAACATTCTGGGTTGTATCTGAAAGCGCACTGTTTACATTATTGCAATTTTTTACGTAATTTTTTGCGACAAATTTTCTGTACAATAACAATTTTTATAGCTTGCAAATATAATGGGAATCGAAATTAATTGCAAAATCCAGCGAAAGTTAACCATGAAATAAAAATAATTGTTTGTACGGAAAGTAAGGACCTACGTACCTCATATTGTCTTTAAATTAAGTGGCGGCAGAAGAATTACCGTTGAACTTTTAAAAGGTAAACTTAAATATTAATGCAATACTTTAATGCAGCGATCAATATGGAGTTCTTCTGTAGTTTATTGTTGCATATAACATCTACTCCTCTCTGTCTATTGTGGTAAAGGCCCAATTAAGAGCCCTCCGCAGGAGCTAGCTTAAATTCTGCCTGACAGGGCGTCTTCTAAGCTCGTAGATTTATCAAATTTAACTGAAGTGAACCTTCAAATAAAAGATTGAATTGTTTCTTTGCAGCTGACTATTTTGTTCTAAGATAAAATTAACTTCAATATATCATTTATCACAACATTGAAATCTGAAAAAAAAAAGGATAATTTAAATTAAAAGTTAATCATAACAACAAAACATTGCAATCACTGCAAAGTCAAACACGAATTTGCTATAAAAAGGATATATTCACCATTTCTAGAGCAATTACTCTACTAGAAAAATGTAATTATGGTTGCAGCAAGAAAAAGAAAGAAATTGGAAGAAGCAGACGATAGAGAAAATTGTAGAAAGAACAATAAAAGCATTCAGAAATGAAAGTTTCAGCAAACGCACAAGAATAAAGATTCCAACATGCAAATTTCATGCTCGTTCGGCCTATGAAACTGGCAGGAGTACTGCAAAGTCTAAAACTCCAAGAGGAAGAAGGTGATTCACAGGCAGTGATAAGAAATGCCGCACACTGGCCAAACACTAAGATAATTTCAGAGGGAACTATAACCTCTATTCCAATCATGTTGAGAACAGTGAATGGGGCCTCCACTTCAGTTGCTGCTGTCTCGCTGGCGGCTTCCACAACGGACTTGGCGGTGGTTTCCACGATAGATTCAGTGGCTGCCTCTGCTGCAGCCTCTACCACGGCCTCGCTAACAAGCGCTGCTGATGCCGCTGTCTCTTCTATTGCTTTTGCAGCTGATTCAGCCACAGATTCTGATGCTACTTGGGCGACTGTTTCAGCCAAAGATTCCCTGGCCGTTTCCACCAAAGACTCTGAAGCTGCATCAGCTATCGACCCGGTCGCAGCGTCGACAAGAGATTCGCTGACGACCCCGGCGGCCGCTTCAATAACAGTCTCGGTAGCTGCCTCCACCACGGTTTCCGCCACAGCATCGGTCGCTGCCCCAGCTGCCGCCTCTACTACAGATTCTGCACCGACAACGGTGTCGAAAACTCTCTTTGCAATGATCTTGACTCCCTTCCGACAAGTACGTCGCACGACATGAACAACTTCCTCTGTCATTGTTACTTTGATGATGATGGCGACAACCTGATTGTCTTTCTTTTTCTTGATCTGCTTTCACTGCCGATCTGAAATATAGGATACCAGTTCAACTTGACCAATTGTCGAAGTGAAACCGAAAAGAACAATGAAACATTGCTTGGATAGGAAATAAAACTAAATAAAAAAAAGGAGATACCATCCACGTTGAATATTTAAATCTTTACCAATTGGAATCTAACCAATAACAAAATCGATTCACCAATTTTGTCTATTTATGAGTAGATGTATCATTGAATTATATTAAGCCAACATGTTGAGGTACTCTCCTCCGACTGTAGAATGCAGAATGTAAAAAACCTTTTAAGACATGCTAAAGGAAATCCTCCAAAAAGTCGAATACCTTTTTGTTAGATTCATATCGCAATTATTTTTGTAATTCGCAAAGAAATCATTGCGTGATAGATTTAAATCACTTAATATTGATTTATTTTTACGGCTTTTCAACCATTTTTGGTTTATTCAAAGCCGAACAATATCTTGGATTATAAGAATAACTCTTTTCTTTTGCCACTTAATATAGCATAAAAATATTTGGGGGAGGAATAACAACTATTTATCCAAAGAAGGATTCAAAATTTCCCAAGTATATTCGCGCGTTAGTAAATGTAATGAATTTGACTTGAACTCGAATCTCTGATTTCTCATCCCGAGTCGTTATCCATTACGCTACTGGTACGCTTAATAGCAATGATACATAAACTCATGAATATAACAGCTTACATAAGAGATAAGATGTAATACCTTTCCGTTGTTTAAGGATTTTTAAGAAGTTCTAATGAAGGTGATAGGTTTGACGCCTGCAATAATATGTCGTGTATAAAGGGAAGAAATATTGGAGGAATATTACGATAAAAAAACAACATTGAGAATGTTAGTCCGATAGAGTTTGAGTGGAACATTAAACAAAAAAAAGATCAGAAAACATACACTCAACTTGCAATTAAACATCAAATGCGTTCAACAAGTACAAAATCCACATCAGATCAGACTTAACGAAAGGAAACAATGGAAAAAAATATATATATATATATATATATATATATATATATATATAGTGTAAGCAATAGGAATTAGGATTACTCCATAATATTGATGATCATCATTTCACCTAATAAATTAAAACTAATTTACAAGAATTTTCAGATTCATCAGGTTAACAAGAAAAATAAAATTTGAAATGGCTTTTGATTTTTCTTGTTAACCTGATGTATTTGAAAATCCTTGTAATTTAATTTTAATTTACAATGTGAAATAATCATCATCAATTTTATGGAGTAATTCTAATTCTTATTGTTTTCAATTTATATGCCCTGTTTGAATAAAACATTGAGCTCTCTTTGTGAATCAGTTTTAATATTTTATTTTATATTATATTAATAGGATTCACTTGGAATATATATATATATCCATTTCTTAATATTGGTATTTTGTAATTACAATATTATTTATGAATTGACATGTCCCTTTAGGAATTGTGTTCCTGATCAAATCAAATTAATAAATAATTATATTGAATATACTATAGCATGCCCAACAAAAAGATTCACACTACATCTTTCTGACCATAGCTCAATTAGGTCTCATTTAAATACACACAACAGAGACCTATCAACACCACCACAACATATTTGTTGACAATACAAATATAATAGCCTCATCCACACGTCAAAAAAAGTTAAAAATAACGCCGATCAAAAATCGATAAATTCAGCTTTTTTACTCCGATTTCGTTTAAACTCAATATGTAGGTTACTTACATCATGACGATTTCAACGATACCTCATCTTTATTTCTACGCCACTGCGTTTAGCGAAAAACCAAAAAATCGATTTCAACACAAATTTTAAACTAAAAACTCCCTCAATTTTCAAGCAATCTAATATAAACTTCACTCAATTCTAACCAACAATAAGTTGATTATGTAAAAGTTATTTATCTTGATAATTAAGTCTACTTATATAGCGAAAACCCGCGTAAATGGCGATTTTTACTATTTTCTTTCTTATTTTTCGTTGATCTTTCAACCAATTTTCATGAAACTTAACAATTGCTTTATAAATATATCCTCTTTTATATCCCTGGTAGCACACTGAAAAATTGAATTTCAAAAACTCCAAAATAATTGTGGTCTGAAGTGGGTCTTCATGTTGCCTGTTTTCCCGCTTCATGTCCTCGGCTAACTTCAATCGAATACATACAGTCTACTTCTGTTATATCAGTAACTGCCTTAATCCAAAATGTTTTTTTAATGAAAGTACTTTAAAGTAAATGAAGAAGATAGACTCTGTTACATCTAAACATGATGCTGTTTTTACTCCATTCTAATTGAACGCGTTTTCTAATAGACCAGCTGGGTATGGCTGCTAGTATAATATAAAACGCCATGCTTAAACTATCAATGAGTTCGCGTGAAAAAGAATATGAAAAACTGGTTAGAGAGTCGGATAAGCATAGTACTATAATAACTTGAGAGCCATTCAAAAAAAAAGGCCTTTGTGAGCCAGATCTGACCTACGATCCGTAAGTTGTCTATTCATGATCTAATGTTGCATTGCTCACAAGTGCAATCTTTAGAAGACATTGGAGAGACACTTGTTAAAAGTATTCAAAACATTTCGTTCTGCTGTTCATATCTCGGGATATCTAATCTTTTTAAGTACAGCTCAGTTATTGGTAATCCTTTTTCCCCTGATTCTGTGCCTGTATTACCCAGCCAAGGACTGAACTCATAAGTTACAATGCCACCAAATGTGAATAATGTAGATATAAAAAAAAACAAAAAAAAAAAAACATATAACCTTTGAACGTTCTGAATAGATACCGTTCATGCATTCTCGTCAAATTCAAGTGAACACACCTTTCTGCCCGTAAACACATGACGTCTTTCGTTTTCGCAAAAACAGAGGAGCGGCCATTTTGGTATGGCCAATCACATCCTGTTTCCACACCAAATGACTTTTGAACTATGCTGGGGAAATAGTTTAGCAGCACCTTGGTGGAGATGCAGAAAAACAACTAGACTCTACTTCTCCAAATCTGACCAAAGGATCAAACATCAGAATGTTTTGATCCCTTCTTGATTAGGACGTCACTTTAGCAACCAATCGCAAGTGTCACCTAACAATATCTGAAACACGTATTTTCATTACTTTGAATCGAGAAAGATCGAGAAAACGTGGAAACTCTCTCTCTGTCTCTCTCTCTCTCTCTAAGATAGATAGATAGATAGATAGATAGATAGATAGATAGATAGATAGATAGATATGAACAAATTCAGATAGATAGATATAGACAGATGTTTCTAAGTAATTAATTGATTTTATATTTTAATCCGACATATTATTAATTCAAATTATATTTTTGTGAATACCCGCAGGAGAAACCATCGTATAATTCGGCGCCCTTCAATTACTCGGCTACGAAGATCTTCACAATCAAGCAAAATTCTATTTGCCTTTAAAAAATTTTTTAAAAATTCATAAATTCTCTAGAAATTGTTTTGTCTACGTTTCAGATACGAAACTGAGTAAATATGTCCTTTCGAGAAAATCTGAACGAGTGAATGTGCTTTAAACGCAAATAGATCCTTGTCTGATTGTGTACTCGGGCGATTAATATCACATGATACATATATACAAGTCAAGTGATCGGGCTAATATCTCATGACGTATGTATATACATATGTCATTATTTGATGCGCTTACTCAGATCGGAAATATTCAAAATTTTGAAATCCTCAAACTTTTATAAATATATAATTGAATATTGAAGTCAACACTCACTAGCGACAGACTGTTTCATGCTATACGCAATCGCCTGACAATTGCGTATAGCAATATATATATATATATATATATATATATATATATATATATATATATAGTCTATCCCTGATATTGAGCATAAATATATCCCATAATTTACCTCATAAATATAGCACACCTTAAAATTATATTTCTTCATATATAATATATATATATATATATATATATATATATATATATATATATATATATATATATATATTCGGTGTATTTGGGCAGCAATTATTTTAATTTGTGCACGTTTGATTAAAAACCATTAAAAGTTCTTTGTTGATTATTGTTTATTTACTTTTCATTATTTCTAATAATTTTTTTTTTGATTTCCGGTTGGTATTGGTAAATATCTGGATACTTTCAGTTAACATTACTAATTTTCAAAATCGTCTCTTGCTTCTTATGTTAACATTTCTTTTTATTTATCGTGTATCTCTTATCGGCTTTTATCGCGTTTTGCATATTTGCATATTCACGTAATAAATGTTCAATTTTTTTTTTTTTTTAAATGAAATATATTTAATATGTTGGGTCGGAGGCTTTGTGTAACTCTGTTGATATTTCGTTGTTTGTTTATACACCGAATACCTCAAGTAATTGCAGTCGCTTTATAAAGTTTATATAGAACTCAGCGCTGTTGATGAGGATTTGTCCGATATCGTGTTGTGGCTTCATTTGTATTCTTCGGACTAATGTTCTCTTTATACAAAATCTGAATTTAATTATGAGTCATTCTCATAATGACTATTATAGACTTACTTGACTGTTATGACTATTGTTTTCCATTGTTTTTTGTATGAACCAAGTACTGTTTGACAGCCTGAAAACGACAGAAGACTGTCGGAGCATTTTGCAGGACGAATAAACAGCGATATCAAAATGTTGAATAGTTAAATGAAGACAACTCTCACTGTGATATCAAGTCGTGTTATTTCTCTTTGATTAAAAACAACGATTTTAATGGTGGGCAGCTGATAAGCCAATTGGTGTATGTTTAGCAAGTCAAGTCAAACATAAAAAAAAAAAAAAAAAAAAACAGCTGTTCCATTTCAAATAATTACGAACCGACCAGTTAAATTAAATAGTACCAAAAACGCTCTACATAATACTTATATATTTTTGAAGGATCCGCTCGTAAAA